GCCCAGATTCCCAAAAGAGAAGGACCATCCATGCAGTGAGAGAATGATGGTGAGTAAGAGTCTAGCTTCCTGTTTCATAGCATGCACATAGATGGGAGTCAGCTGAGCCTGACTGAGATACATGATAAAAAAAAGATACCAAGACTGATGACATAGAGTTGGAGCAAGAATAGATGTCACAGCTCTGAGAACAAAGCCAGCCTTGGTTGTCTCTGAAAGAAGAATCCAGGTGTGACATTCTGACAATTGACAAGATGGTGCCAGCAGTAACCAGCCATCCACTGAATGGTGTGTGCACAGGGCTAGGGAATGGAGAGGATGAGAACCCATATGGTGCTGATGCTAGTTTGAAGGTAGAACCCTGAATTGCAGTACCTAACCCTTGTGCACAAAAAATAATGCTGATAGTGGTGGGATGCCACTGCTATGGCAATGTGCAGATTGGATCCAACTACATCAAACTTGGACATCCACAATTCTAGTAAAAAAATGCCAACTTCGATTGAGGAATGAGTCACTTGTAACCTTGAAGAATCTAGGCATTGATATAGATTAAAAAGACTGATGACTAGACATGAATCTCCTGTCTTCTTAGGCACAACAACCGATGAGAATAAAACCCCGGAAGAACTAGCACAACTCTCTCTCTCTTCACCACCAGACCACCAAACTCTGATAGCCATAGAACTAAGTTCCAAAAATCCCAGGATCTGCAGTAGACAGAAACCCAAAAGGTTGCATGGATAATGCTGATGAAGATGTGAACTTAATAACTAATCCTGTCTCATGGTTCCACAGTTAAGATTACCACATGCCCAGAAATCCTCAGAGCTGAGCCCCACAGACCTTAAAGGCACACAATAATCATCGAAGCCACTAGTGGCATTCTGACCAAGCAGCAGAACCCTTGGATATGGGCAGAATCTATTCTGGGTACAAATGTACCAAGAGGCTGATGTCAGGGGCCGGGACCCTCGAACAGGGCCAGAACTATGACCCCTATAGAAGCTATTGAAAGTTGAGATGCCAGCAACAACAGGGACTAGTGTAGAAGCTGACAAATGAACCAGTGTTCATGCTAACAATGGTTCCAGCTTGTCATCAATGAAGGTGGTGATCCTGAGAGTCTTCCAACAGTTTAGTGTTTGGAAAAGAACACATTGGATGTTGAGAGTTGTAAGTCTATAGACTTACCACTGTCCCGCGAGGGGACAGTGATCTATGCAGGCTAACTACAAACTCTGCTTTAGAATCCCTAATTTTGAGAAGCAGATGTATTATTTGAGTCTGAATATGCTTCCACCTGGCAGTGGTAGGCTAAACCATGTAGTTCCAATAACTGTGGCATATAAGGGATAGCTGTCCCATCACGTAACTGAGCAGTAAACTTCTTGCATGAACCACAATGTCCTTGGATGGAGAGGAAAAGTAAATATTTGCTTCCAGACTTTACAGCCATCAAATAAGGTGCAGGCTCAAAAGCAACTGGGGAAAGACCTAAAACATCACACTCTTGATGGACTAACTGAAGAAAACAAATCAAAGGCAGCTTATTACCATTGTTTGGAACAGCATTTTGTCAGGAAAGTTTGTTTTGTTAGAGCAAAGCAATGTTGGGCAATCTGCTATGTTCACTATAGGGAATCAAATCTTGGACTTCAGCACTGTAAGTCCATAAAGTTACCACTGTCACAAGGTAGAACTGAGAAGCAAACTGAATAAAAGAAGGCACAGGAAGAAGCAAATTGAAATTCTCTCCAGTGTCTAGGATTGCCCTCAATTGCAACCTCAGAGTCCCCTGAAGTTTGTAAATCCTACCCTTGCTCCCGAGAAAAAGAATCAGTAAACAATTATAGATTCAGCCAATAATTGAGCAGATGAATGAATCTCAAAAGGAGCATAATTGTGGTACAAAACTGAGAATACTGACGTGAAGACAGAGCATAAAGGGTTGATTAATTACGAAGAGTGAGATTTATGTTTATATGTAATATCATTGGATAGTCATGCTTGGGTTTCCTATGACAAGCAAAAATAAAGATGAATAGTTTGGAACTATGTGCATCTTCATTCAGAAGGGACCACCAAAAAATTAAAAAATCAAAGGAGAAGCTACTTATAAAATAACTTTTCATTGACCACAGACTCTTATAATGAATTAACTAATTAACATTTATACTGATTTAACATAAAATGGATGAGATTTGCACTTTGCTCAGCAATCATGACATGAGAGTGGAACATGTTTCATGAGACTTAGCACGAGCATTTTATTTTTGATCCAGATCTTATTGAAGAAGGCTCATACAACTTTTATGATGTACATTCTACTAATACCAATGACTTGAAAAATAAGTCTGCAGAGGAAGCCACAAGGTTTGTTAGAGACAAAGCAGTTCAAATTCATTCTACTAGGCAATATTTAGAGTATCCACAAATTTTTAGGTCTAATGCACTGTATAATAATATTAGAAAATAACTATTGAAGCATACTGCACCTGTTGAAAATCAAGTAAAGTTGCATGACAGTGTTAAGTTACATTGAGGACAAAACAGCCTTGCCCAAATACTTTTGTAAAATGAAAATATCTATTGAAAAGTGTTTTTAAAAAGCCTAGAGAAAGAGAAACTATTGGTTCACATTTGCCATTAAAACTTACCTGATGGCATCTACAAATAAGCCTTTTCATAAGAAAACAAACACAAGATTCTGTACACTATGAATTCATTTTGGAATCAATTTTCTCCTTGATATTGTTAAAAAAATGAAACATGTACTAAACTGTCACAAGGATTTCCAAACAGGAACTGGTACAAGCTTATAAGGCATCTATGAAAAACAGTATTAAACATGGCTTCCTATACTAGTCATTGTACATTTGCATATGACACAAGCACTAATAGAAAAGTTTGAATTAAGAAAAACTTCTATTTCTGTAAATGGTTTTCTTCAATATATGCAGTTTTGTTATCTGTCAAAAGATTGATAAATGATTGTTTTAATCTGCGATGAGGTTTTCAAAGGAAAAATTTAATTCTTTTAAGAGTTACATTTGCTGCAACAATCATTTTCTAGAAGGGCACACATTACTTGTATAAAGAACTTTTGTGTGCTTATTGAGCTGAAGCTACTTATTATATGGACAGTTATGATTTTATGTTCTACTTTCAAAGTAAATGATGCATATCAGTCATTCTACTCAAAATCCATAAGAGATCAAATGTTCACATTTTGAAGGTTAATTATTCTGCATTTTTATTTGACCCAATTAGATTTTGAGTTTGAAATACAAATTTAATTGATTTTGAATTCCACATTTATTCATATTTGCCATACATTTTATTTTTGTAGAGTCTCAGACTCTAAGTCATGTTTTTTTTCTTTATATATCCTTATATTTGCACTACATTTGACTGCTTGAGGCAGAGCTGTCTCAGACATTTGGTTATGTTTTATTTATTTATATCTTTTGTATTATGGTAAATACCATTGTGTGGACAAGTTAGTGGAATTGGTTAGATTTAATGATGTATCTTATGACATTTCAGTGTAGCATTTATTACCATGTGAAATAAAGTGAAGAATCAAAGCCTGCTTTCTTAATAATGCAATAATTTCATAAGTTTTCATTCTTACTTACACTCTTCCCCTTTTTCTGTTCTTGTGTTTGAAAATTGTAATGGTTCCTAAACTATGCATGAAAAGTCTTTATGATTGTGGTAAACTGTAGTTGATTCAGCATATCAATTTTTTTTGCAAAATGTTTTTATTATAGGTTTTTCTACAACACTTATCACTATCATATTAAACCACATTTTTTTAGTGTAATGTTTTCTTATGTCGTCTTTTTCAGACTAACTTGGCTACTTGATGAAATTTATTATTGTTGTAGTAATATTGATGTGTTTCCAACAATAGAATGCCTTAGGCAACAATATAGTATAGTGAGATCGATATGTAACACATGCTTTTCTAAGGTTCTTCAATTTCCTTTTCTCATTTTGAGCCAAATAAATATTGCAGCAGACTTTTATATATATTTTGATGAAAACTGTTTCATCAAGTTTTTAAAAATATCACACCAACTTTTTCTTTAATGAATAACAAAAGGATATGAAAATCGTTATAACTTCAATAATTCAAAAGAATTGCTTTGAGAGTAAACAGCAACTGTAACATGTTCTGCAACAATATAAAGTTGTGAATTTTTTTATAATACTGGAGTTCTCCAAAACCTTTTATAACTTGTCCATATACAAGAGATGGCTTAAAACTTTTTTGTAATTACTAATACTTATTTTGTGCATACTTTTCCTTAATAAATAAATGGATAGAAACAGCTATACAAAAAATAATACTGATAACTCAACACCAATACTTGTATATAGAGAAATTTGGTGATTGATTAATAATTGGTCTCTAACTGATTACACTCAATTAATTAATGATAACAACAAGATGGGTAAAAAAAAAGAAGCAAAAAACAAACAAACAAACTAATCCAATACTCTAATGAGAGAGTTATAAAAACAATTATATTGCTAAAATTAGGTTTCAATACCCACTGTGGGCAGAACATACATATCCCATTGTGAATCTTTCGACTTAATAACAAATAAATATAATTGCAAAATTTTTAATGCTTGGATACTTGGAATAATAGAAAATGACAATGATCAGAAACCCTAATTTCGATTAGTTGATTACTTTCATTTAGTCATGAAAATGATTGAATAAGCTAAACAAACTTGAATTAATTGAAAATTATACTGAAAAATCATAAAGCAAATACTTCAATTACTGGACAGTTGAAATAATTAGAAACACTATGTTTGATCAGTTGATTATTTTCATGGCATTAATCAAATTAATTGTGATTTTAATTAATCAATTACTTTATGTTAGACTAATTTATGTAATCAATACTCATTACTGATTTTATCACTTATATCAACCTGTATAACAATAATCACTTTTTGATTGCTTTAAATGTACCTACGTGTCCTCTGATGATTTCAGTACACTTTTCACAGACAAATTATCTGGTACATTAACACTTGAACTAAATAACCCATTTCTTTCAAGTAATTTCTCAAGAATAGCTTGTGCTGCAGCATGCTTGGCTTTCTTTTTACTTTGGCCAGTGGCTGTGGCAAATTCATTATCCACTTCCACTCTGAACATGAATGTAGGTGCATGGACTAATCCTTCAACAGACATCATTTTGTAATCTGCAGTCAGTCCATGATGAGCACAGAGCTCCTGAAGCAGGCTAATGGGTGTCTTCTGGGGCAGTGTTTCCATACCTAGAAATTATAATACAATATTTATCATAGATAATTTATACAGCCATGAAAAATACTTGTAGCTAATAGAATAGCATGGCAAGTGCCTGTCAATTTTGTTAATTTGCCTGCTAAGCTCATTATAAATGAATATTTGTTGTCAGTAAAAATTACAGTAGACTTTTAATTAATAATAAAATAAGGTTTTTAACTAAAACTTCCTGTTAAACATGTTAAACTTGATTTTTCAGAAATTGACATCTATAAAATTAAAATGAATTTCAAACAGATACTTACTTCTAAGATACTAAAAACTAAAAGCCTTTCTTTACTGATTTACTCTCATGATGTCAACAACCATGTGGTTTTTAGATTCTAAATGTCCTTGTACAATGCACAGCATGTGTCAAATTATCCAAATTTTCCCACTGTCTTATCTTCCACATGATTATTGCACATGTATCAGAAGGACATACATAAACTCTTGTTTCCTACCAAAAGCCAGATTTCTTTCTTTGGAGTTGTGAAGACCTCCTGGCTGTGGAGAGGTGGGAGTGTATTTCAGCAGTATGTACCTGTTTGAGATTCATTTTAATTAAAACAAAATTAAAATCCAAAACAGGTAGGCTTACCTCTGAAACACTAAAAGTCAGAATGCTCATACCAAGATAGAGAAACGAACCAGAACATCGTAACTGCCACTATTTCACCAAATGTTGGGTTTATAGGTTGGAGTTTAACAACATAGTGTAGATCAAAACAATAAAAAAAAAAAGTGCTGAAGCAAACATTGTGGAGAATCCAGAACCAGAGTAAAAATCACCTGACTTGATTCATGGGAGAAACAAGTGGAGTGGACCAATCTCATAATAGGCAGCACCATGTTAAGGACACTCATAAAAAAGGCATTTTCTCAGCAAAGATCTTATCATCCTACATGCCCTCTAACTAATATATAATGGGTTTTTTTGGCAATACTGTAACATAGTTCATACAAGCTAATAATAAAAAAAAATTCCAGGACTTACAAAACCTAACTTACAAATTTTAACAGAGCATGAAGTCCATCAAGATTAAATAACTAATGTTTTATTGAAACAAAATACAGTAAAAACTGTACAAAACATCCTAGCAATAACGCATACAGTAAAATTCAAGTAAGACAAAGAAAGTAGTAACTTTTCTCTTTTTTTTGTGTGCATATTTTGCATCTCACATGGTAAATATTCTATGGGTATTCTAGCAACCAATTAGCACAAGTGTTGATAACCAGGCATACCGAATTGAATTTTTATTTCTTCGGCATGCTTTGATTAACACATGCACTATTGAGAAAGAACACTTATTAAAGAAAAACAGACTGAAACAAGCTATCAAAAAAAAATCTAAATGACCACATACTACTGGATAAAGCACTAACATTCTTTTTACAATACCCTAAGTATACTTCAACTTTTCACAACTTTAGTTGAATAACAAGTGATAAAGCCTTATGCCTTTCTTCCATGTACTGAGCATTAACCATAGCTAAAAACTCCTCTAGCGTGTAACCAAAACAAAGTTCACAATGAAGTGAAGGAAGTAGAGAACTGCAGCAAACACTTCAAGAACCAGTACTGCCTTAACTGTTGATGTAAGCTATCACTGTAGACTTTTCTGTTTGAACTAACACAGAATAGTGGTGTAGATGAAGAAGAAACTCAAGCATGCTAAACAGCTAAAGTTTCTAATATGTTGATGTAAGCCCTGCCTCCAAAGGAGTCCAAAAAGTAGAATGAGATTTAATCCCCCGACATAGCTTCTGAACTGAAAGGGAAGGCACCTGTGAAAAGATTAAGTCATAAAGAAGAAGGAAGAAAAGGAAATCCTTGTGACATAAACTCACTGTTTAACTAAAACTGGAAAACAAAAGAATAATGGAAGAAATAGGCATGTGACAATAGACCCAGTTAGGTGTCACTGAGAAGCAATGTGAGCATATATCAATGGAATGACAAGGTTAAGAGATTGTCCCCAAGGCAGAAATACTTTCTTTAGCAGTAGCTGTATGAGACCAAAAGGCTTACAGCACTGTTGGAGATGGTTGAAGTGTTCCTTAAAATGTGTTGATAATAAATGGAAATTGGAGTTATGAATGATCCACTCAAAAATTGTAATCAGTTGGGTGATAAAATGAGTAAAAGACTGAATGGGCAAAAGGGTCAAAATAAGCCAAATGTCCAGGTAAAAGTTGATGTCTAGTAAATGAAGAGCAGAAAAACTATACTACTTGAAAGAAAACATATGGAGCTAAAGGGAAGGACAGGTGAACTTTTAAACTATCATCTCCCAAATGACAAAAATATGACAGGATGAAGGAAGAACAGGGATACAAAGAAAAGCATCCAGTATATCCACCACCATCATTCAACAGACATGATGAAGAAACTTTTGTAATAATCTTGTTTTTTGCATATAATCTTGGTTTCATCAAAACCACAAGAAACTGGAGTAAAACTTGGACACGTATGACAAATGATTTTTAATACTCCTTTCTGAAGAAGATTTGAGACTTCCTGATTAAAATGTGTGACCAGATTGGAACTAGAAGAAGAAAAAAGAACTTCAAGACCAGACTGAAGGGTCTGTCAAACCCATGATTTCCTCAGATGAACCAATGACTCAAGACAGATGGGAGATTTATCCAGAACAGAAAACAGTCACTGAGTGCGTGGAGAAGAACCACTTTGCTTATGTCTTATTGGCTAATTGGTAGTCTAAAAGCACAAGTAGAAGTAGAAGAGGGAGGTTGCAAAGACAAACAATTCAGGGAAGAAACTCTATCAAGGTCAGCTGAAAAAGCAAGGGGGGAGGAGGTCAAGTACCTTGTCACAATCCATGATGAGCTAAGGTGTCAATGGAATGTAATAACCACATGGTGAGAGATGCAGCTAAGGAAGACTGCAAAGTAAAAACTATATCCTGAGTAAGAGAATGAGAGAAGCTTATCAGAAATAATTACTTTGAAGTTGAATAAAGTTGCAAAATGAGACAAATTCATAGCATGCATGGCATAAAACTGACAAAAGGTTAAAGTACAAGATCACTATAAAAGACCTTCCCATCTAAAAAAAAAAAGTCCTATCTGAGGGTCAGTAATTTGAGAAGTAAGATAAGGAGAGGAAGATGAACATGCAAAAGGGCTATTAATGTTTAGCTGATTTCTAAAAGCCCCAGCAATTACCCAAACATTAGATGGTGAAAAATACAGATTCAGGAACTGATACACCGAACATGGTATTTTCACCCTCAGGCATAACAGAACTAGATGAAAATTTAAAACAGAACATACCTGAGAAAAAAAAAAAGAAATTAAACCAGCAGAAGATTCTTCAAAATTAGAGCAAACTAACAAATCCTGCTCTTCAGACAATGAAGGTGAATAGTCCTAATCATTTTTTTTTAATAATGAAAAAAGGCTAGATGTTTCGCAACTGGCCATCCAAATAAATGTGAAAACTACCAGGGACACCAGCAAACAATACAGAATTAATGACTTGCATATGCTGATCAATAAGGTCTGACAATACGTGGTATCTTCATACACACTATATGAGTAAGATCTTAATAGAAACTGTAAAATATTTTATATTAATAGAAATATTTGCAACAATAAAAAACTGACATCAATATGTATGTTAAGGGAAGTTAAATGCATGACTGTCAACAATAAAAACAGGCATACAGCAGGAAATCAGGGCTTATGTTATCCTGATACATGCATAATAAGTCGCAAAGAATGGAGAATTCTGGGTAAGTTGATATATGATCTGCATTGTGTCACAGATATCCAAATCCTAAACTCACAATTGTTGATAGTAATAGAGTAAACTCAACAAAGAAATGTGTTTAGCATTTCAAAGTTAAGCCTAGCTGATTTGAACTCTCAAACTAAGTCTCAGACCCAAATGATATTTTAAGTGATAGCTTTCCACATAAAAACTGTGTTTAGTATTAATTCTATTGTTGACACAAGCCTGGATTAGCAAACAAACAAAACCACTCTAATATATCAGACATAGATGTGTTGACTATGTGAAAAACATCACCAATAAATATGGTCCCATGCTGCAAGAAAACAAAAACATTACTGAAATTATTTTTTTATATTATTCATTTTAAGTCAGGATATGATGCCACTAAAAGACTTATTGATACCACAATTAGAAATATTGTTTCATTTCTTTGAATATTCAATCTTTTCTATGAGAAGTATGATTTAAATTGAGTGATGGTTCTTTTTAAACTACAAGATTCTTGTCACTAGAACTGTAAATTGTTATAACACAGATTTACATTTAACAGTCTACATCAAAACATTTACATTACCAAACAATACACCATTTAGCTTTTTATAATATTTTTGTGTGAAATGTTAATAAGCTATTAATCTAAAGTATTTAAAATTGTATATATTATAAAAAGGTACTGATTACAATAATTTCTAATGGGCTTGAAAGAGAAACAACAGATGTTGTACTTACACCTATGATATGGACATTTGATATTTATAACTTACATGGATAATAATATAAATTTTTGGTGCTGCTCATTCTTAATCAGATCAATAACAAAACTGCTTACTTCAAACTCAAAGTTTAAAGCATTTCTATTATAGCCAATGTTTATTTGGTTGAAAAGTTAGAGCTTTAAGTGATTTTATTGAGGTAATTAGGTATGTAGGTCTAAAATCAGTTTTCAGCATATTGTCTTAGAATATACATGTGCATGCCATTACCATTCTTCTTTGGCCAAGCAAATCACCAATTATGTCCATGGCAAGCATGTATGGACAGTTTTTGACCATTTCCTGTGAAAGAATTTCAAACAAACAACTTCTAGGGGCACCCTCATCCATGTTTTTCTTCAGGAGTAGAGTGCAATACCACAGACCCAGATTTCAGACCTTGAAAATGTGATTTCTAAACATGTTTAAATATTGAACTATTCAGATATAAAAAATTGAATTGTGTAGACTATTT